TTGGGGGCGTGGAAGAAATAAAGTGTGAAATAGCAGAGATACTGAGGAAGGGATGTAATATAGTCTTAATAGCAGTAACTGTTCTCAAAGGTGGAAAAGTGACCAATGAGGTATCTATTTTTAAAAAAGATTAAAGGGAAAGTTACAGTGATAGACAAAAAAAATTCACCCACTGTGGAGCCCTCATAACTTGTCTCACTTTTATCACTATACTTCGTTATGTTAATACCTATTTTTTGTTCATGTCTGAGTGTGGCCACTAAGCCAATTCCTGCCCAGAACTGTCTCTTTTCATTTATAGCCTCATTTTTCTATCTGTATTTCTTGATGGGAACTTTGGATTTAAAGCATTGAGCAAACCCTTCGTACTATTCTCTTCAAACTTCCTCCTTTACATTTGCTAGTGTTTTCCCTACCAGTTCAACAGTTTCAGTCACACATTAATTTGCTGGTTTATTTAATTTTTATGAGCTTTTTTAGAATCTACTTTGACTAACATTTAAGTGTCTTCTTTTTTATTTAATTCTTCTATTCCATTTTATTTGTTATATATTTGTAGGAATATTTGTCTGTTGCAAATATAGTCGCTGAGCACATCGCAGCAATCTTGAGAAAAAGGCAGTGGTGGGCAGTAATTTATTGAGGAGAAGCTTAAGCATATAAAAACTGAATAACTTGTCTACGGTCTTCCAGAAAATCTCTAGCAAAACCAAAACTAGAAAATCAATTCTCCTGAGTCCCTTTTCAGTGCATTAACTAAAAAAGTATGCACTTGTTCTACCTACTTTCCAGTTGATAGTTGTATATATACACGCACCTGATTTATGTTGTGGGACTATATATGTGTAAAACAGTTTGCTAGCTATAGAAAAAATCAATGATATCATTTGCCTTTTCTTCTTGTCATAGCACAATTGCTTCCTGTGGCATAATACCCAGTATTTTGTCCAGTCTATTAACTGGCAATTAAGGAAATAATGTGCATCCCTTAGCCAATCTCCAATTCAACTCTGGAGCATCTACTGGATTGAGGAGAAATTACAGGGATCCAGGGCAATGCACCAAAATGTTTTGAATCCTTCTTCAAGGAATGTAACCAACTGACTGATGAGAGGCAAACCACAGCTACATCCTGCAACCCCTCACTTGTCATTCTCTCCCTGATCCTTTTCACCAGCCAACTTTGGCCACTTGGCAAACATTACTTAACATATACTCAATATGAGACATCATGTACTCAAGTGTCAGCAATACGTAAATAACTTCACTACTAATGACATTACTACCAATCACCCCAATGCTCCTATGGTATCTTTCCTGAATAAGGAAAAACTGACTGATGCTCAATCTGATACAGACAGAGGTGAAACTGGTGAGAAAAATGAAGCATTCTGAAGATTTCAAAATCACAGTGTAATCTCCTTTGGTTAAAGGATCGCATCTAAAATTGGTTGATGTAGTCCATAGTTTAGTAGTATTCTTGGTTTCTTTAGTTTCATACCAAACTATCATATAGACTCAAGCAAAGAACATTTTTAGTCCCCTTTAACAGGCTTAGAGACTCCACCCTATCTTTAAAGATAATGACCTCCAATTGGCTTGACTTCAGCAATGTGCTATACCTGGGTATGAGGCATTCAGCAGCACTGAAACCTCAGTGTGGAACACCACAGCATAAGTTCTCAGCAACAGAAGCTATCATAAACACATTAAACCTGCTCTCTGCATTGGCTAAAAAAATAATCCAAACTTCTGAGATGAAGCCAGTGACAAAAAACTTATCATTACTCTAGAAAGAGGAGGAACAAATACATCTGTGTAAAAGACAGAACTTTATTGTGAGAATTGCCAAAATTGTGGAATGAAGGACCATCAAAAACCTTACCATGATGTGCTTTTAAGTGCCAGACAAATTCCTCTGACTTTGCCTTTTCTACTGTAAGCACATAGCATTGTATTTATTTTTTAACAAAATAGATAGCATCCTCTCTAGGGAAAGGATGAGAGAATAAACAATACACGAGAGATGTTAGCGCACTATTAGAAGACTTTCCAATAATACAGTAAGGAGTGAAATATAAGAATAAGGATAGGCAAGACTAAGCTAGAATAAAAGTGTGGTTTTTGAAATGTAGTCTCTTGGAGTATGTATAAACTGCATCCCTGCTGAGCTCTGGACAGACTTTGAAAAACCAAGTCACACCCACCTGCCCCAACTCATTGTGCAACAAACCTTAGAAAAGTATGCCATATTC